TTTATTAAAATCTACTAAAAAAAATCAAAACTTTTTCAAACAATCCCTTATTTAACTGTTTGAGATTGATGCAATTTTGCTTTGGTAGGGATTAAAATCATTTTTTAGTAAATTTTGATAAAAATTGATAAAATATGTGATTGAAAAATTATAAATCTCATGAAATATGTTGTTAAAATTAATTATTTTGCTTAAATTGAATTGTAGTCTCGAACTAGTTTATTATCGTATTTTGAATTATTTTCAAACTACCAAACAGGAGCTTTGTATTACATTCACTAACTAGTTTAGCCCCTGTTTGGTGACCACGTGTTTAAAAAGTATGAATTTTTTTTTAAATTTATGTGTAAAATATTGATTTTGCTAGAGAGAGAGAGAGAGAGCGGAGGCCACATGTGCCCTCCAGGGTAGCAAAACTCTTGATGGAAATGACCAAATGAAACTTTTCTCTCTGATCATGCAAACAAGTTGCAAATAATTAACATTATTCAGAGATAAGGTTTGAGAATTTTAAGGATAAGAATTCAGAACGAATAACTGCAATTTCACGCTTTTCAAAAAAACGCATGAGCTTTTTACATTTACATGTGTTTACTGTGAGGACCATGTTACAAGTACATAATTATTTACATAATACATTACATAATTAGCATGTGGCGCACATTCATCGGTAGTTTACAATTTTTTACTTTTCCACACTTCACATCAACGGCAGGATTTATTTCACATGGGCCTATGTAATTCATTATGTACATATAGATTTATCCTTATTGTGAATTGCGATTTCTTTTTATCTGTCAACAAATTTCCGGTCATAACTGCACGTGCGGGCTATGCGCTTGGCACGCTCACAGCGGCAGCATTTTGGTGTAGCCGTACGCCGCTGTCAAACTGTGCGGCGGTTAATGAACTTCGAGATTTGATGTCAATTTCACGTGATTGGGGACCTCTATCACATGACAAAGTTATGGACATGACCACTACCCACCATTCCTTCTCTCTTTTATCGTTTTTGAAAATTTTTAAGTTTACAAAATATGAATTCGTGAAAAAATAAGTTGACTTGAAATGGTAATGATCGAATGGATCAGATATATACTTTTATTTTCAATCTTTAACACGAAATAATGATATTTTATATTTTTCCGTGGAAACTTATCATTTTCAATAAGTCGGGGTTTGAATAATATATTATAATACGACTTCATTTTTATTATTTTAGTTTTTAAGTTTAATTTTGATTAGATTGCATCCTTTTATTTGATCATTTATTTTTGCATTGGTATTCTTCGATGGAATTATAACGACATCATCACTCCAATTTATAATATGAAGCGCTGCATTATGTACAAAAATATTGTCAACATTTTTTTTTCCAATTTAATTTCTTTCTCTATAACAACATAATTTATTCAAATATCTCAAATTTCAATATTTCATGTACATATTGTAGAAAACCTCAAAATGTTAAAGTTATGTCTCTATATTATTTAAAGATATAAGCCTTCCTAATGGACTATCTTTACATTTTAGTCCTTTTTTGAGCCCAAATTTTTTTATAAAAAAAACTCATTTTTAACCACACATTGTTCAATAAAATAATTTTATAAGTAAATTAATTTTTTTTATTTTTTAATCGTACATTCTCCAAAAAAAATTATTCTAAACTAAATTTTTTTCTCCAAAATGGGGTCAAATAAGGACTTAATCTATTTTTCTTCTGTAAATTTTTCACTTGGAATTGAATGTCATCGTTCTTCAACCATGCTCCATTAATTTTAAAATACATTTAGTCTGATTTACAAATTGTAATCTCACCTAAAAGTAGGTGCGGTCTGGTTCGATCCAATTCTGAAGATAACCGAACCTAACCTAGTACCATGAGAATCTTATAAATAGAACAATTGCTTTCATATCCAACTATAGAACCAAACCAACCAGTTCTGATTCGATCCGATTTAGTCTAATTCTTTATATTGAAAAAAATTATAAAAATAAAATATGAAACTATTTGTCAAATTGAAAATCACTTGTCATTCTTGTAATCTAACAATAAAAGAAAAAAAATCTATTAAACAAGGCAACAAACAAAAATCACTCAAAAACTCAAGATCAACTTATAAAAGCGAAAAAAAATAATAAATTATTAAACACAGTGTAAACGGTAAAATCTTGATTGAAAATTAATTCTCAAGAAAATTGATATCACAACAGCTTAATTATTTTTAGTAATTCTTAAGGATCGTGATTCTTAATAATTGGTCACTTTGAAAACAACGATAAATTTGAATTCTTATGAAATATTGAACTATAAATATATTTCCCCTAGTGTTGCATTAAAACTATAAAATTATAAATATTTATAAAATTATTTAGACTTGAATTTCGATTACACATTAAAGGAATGAAAAAGAAGCATACGAAAAATAAATTTTTAACGTGAGATAATTTTGGGGTCTAGTGTTTAAACATCTTGTGCATCTTTGCACGAGTAAAAAGAGAAATTTGAGAGAGCCAAGTTCATTGTTGGTTCTCCTAGCAATACCAAGAATTGGACCAGAATCGATCGGTTCTCGATGTAAGATCCTAAAATTGACCAATTTAGTCGAGGCATTGGAGCCCAACCGGACGGTTCTATTTGGTTCCGATCACGTTCCATCGATTTTGAGAAAAAATGTCCACTCCCAATGTCACCGGCCACTGAATGATTGATGAAATTATATTTTGTAAAGTTCAACGACTAACAAGGAATTTTTTGAAATTCAGTAACCCCCTAATGTTCAGTAATGAGAATCAACGTTCAGTAACTAATGGGGAACTTTTGAAGTTCGATGACTAATGAGAAAACTTTTGAACTTCAGTGATAGAAAACCTTACTCAAAGTTCAGTGATCAATCAGGCAATTAACCTCCATTTTTATTATTTTTTAATGGTTTTTTAGTCTTTTTTTTCCTTATTATTATTATTATTATTATTCATACCTCACAATTTTATTCTCTATAATATCGTCAAACTTAAAGAATAACCTCTTATCTCCGGATAACCGATAATATTGTTTTCTGACTTCTCTAAGATCAAAGAGTCAACAAAAGTCTATACAATAAACTATTTCGAAAGAGAACTCCTTTAGCATTGATTACTTAATAGTATTCAATTTTAAAATTCA